TTTTTTTAAATAACAATTAGTTTGTTTCAAGCCACGAAATTGTACCACTTTATTGGTTTTATACGGATTGAAAGTCTTCTAGGAAACTTGGGGAATGAAATTGAAGACTAGGATATAACGATATTGTCGTTACGTGTAATCGATATTGCTCTATTTTACCGTAATCGCAGTCGTATAATATTGATATGAAAACGTGGAAATAAGTAAAGCTTTCACATGTATGCATTTCACTTCCCTTTTTGGCATCGAACAAAGCCTAGCTCCAACAAAAATATTTCTTTACGTGCTCCACTTCGTTCGAATGTACATGACGTGCTCTATTTTCTTTGTGCCTCTTTGATACCGGCTGAAATGAGTATTCAAAAAACTGGCAATCTACCATCGTAGTGATGATGTTATAAATGAGTTAGTGTGCATCTTTGTGACCTCTCCAAACAGTAATGATAGAGGTTTCGTATCGAATTAGTAATCGAGTATCTGCTAATGGGATATTTTCTTATCATGAAAATACCGTTCTGATTAAAGGAACGAGAAGAAGACAGAACACCCATAAATGGAAAGGTTACTTTTAATATATGGGTGTCACAAATACTGATTGTTCAGTGAAAGCCTGTGTGTGACATATGCCTATAACAAGATGGCTTTGAAACTATGAATGAATTAGGAATAGTTTAAATAAGGTATAAATAAATCATTTTAACAATGTATTTGATCTGTGTGGACGTACAGAACTGTGATCAGTCACCGAATTGTAATATAATTAACATATGCAATTAATATTTTTCGATGAATGGTATCTTAATTTGAAGAATAGCGGTAAAAGTCTACTGAGCAATTTTTAATTAAGACAAATTGTCAATTGGTGGTATTATCATAACATTTCTCATAAGTTTTATATAAAAGTTGTTTTCAATGAAAGATTTATTTTTTAAATTGGTACATTTTTTTGAAATTGTTAGTTTTAAGTGCTGACTTATAACGTGCATAACGGTGAAGGAAAACATCGTGACCTGCATATATTCGAAATAATAACGTATTAAAGAAAAAAATATTTCGAAGATATGCAAAGTTCTCCAATCCGCAGTGGGGCCGCGCGGTGGACTGTGCCCTGATACCTTCTGTACAGAGGAGGTCTTTGCCCAGCAACAGTGGGACATGTATTGGCTGTTACTTTACTTTACTTCACTTTTATATTTTTATTATAATAACGGCAAACGTAAGCTTTAAAATGGGGTGAATAATTAAAGAAAATTGCGAATGATTAAAATTATGTAGTTCCGACAAAAAATAACTTTAAGAAATATTGTATACAGATGTCAAGTGGATTTTTGTAAAGTTGTAGAATAAAAAAAAAAAACAATGATATAAAAAAGCACAGTGGAGATGCGGCTAGAAGCTAAAGCTATTATCTAAAGGTTTGTTAACATTTCTGCTAGCGCTCAGTCTATGTGTAACTTCTCGCTTCGGGCGTCTGATATCGTTTCGGCAGAACGAAGATTGATTCGGCCCCGATGCCGCACCATCCATCACCGGCTCAGTAAACACGCCTCCGTCTTGACAATACCAATAAGTGTCAACGTATCCTATAAATAGTCGAGGCACAGTATGACTTTCGGAGCTCCGATCCGTGATACAGCCGGCGAGATAAGTGCGAAGGAGTGTTTTATTTTGAACACGACATGTCGCCCTGTGTACAGTGGGTGTCGTTTTAATGTGAACCAGTGGTGTATTGGGACAGTTCGGAACTAATGGAAAGACAAAAGCCTCGCTCCGCGCGAAACGGCAAAGGCGTGCGAACGAAATCAGTTCGAACACGTGTGTCTTTGTGACTCGTTTGATGCAAGGGCGCTTTTATTAAATAAAGGAATAATTTTCTATGTAAAACATTTTAACTTACACTGCTTATCTAATTGTAGAATGTTTAATGAATGGTAATTACGTGAGTTTACACTAAAATATACGCAGTATTAAATTAATTGAATGCTCCAATGAAAAAGAAGGATCTGTGCTAATATACAGAAAGTCGATCGATACAGGTGGCTCAGGATCTTGCTTCGTAGCCTGCTAACGTTATGATGATGATGATGATGAAGAAGAAGAATATACAATTTTAATTGTTATTAAAGGTTGTGAATCCGATATAAATTTAATATTTATTCTTCAAAAAAGAGCTGTCCGAGCAATCTATAACATCGGAGCCCGGAATACACTCAGAGATCTTTTTAACGAGATTAATATACTCAATGTTGCATCTCAATATATTTATTGTAATATTTTGTATGTTTAACATAATATTAATAATTATCTAAAGAAAAGTGACAGACATAAACTAAATACTAGAAATAAGGACAAACTAACTACGCCATTGTTTCGTCTACAAAAAGTAAACAGGTCGTTTATGGGGCAAAGTGTGAGTAAATTTAAACGAAAAATTAAAAGTAAACTTATAGCTAAAGCCTATTACACTATTGCGGTTTATCTTGACGACGCCAATGTGTGGGGTTAATACTGTTGATACTCACGTAGGCTAAAACAAGACCTGTACTATTATATTGTAAACTGACCTTTTAAAAAGAGCAACTGTTGAGTTTCTTGCCGGTTTCTTCTCAACTGCTGCTTTCCGAACCGGTGGTAACTTACGAACGTGTTAATTTCTTTGTAAAATTTTGACATTTCATAAGAACGCGTAAGCGCGTATGTGAATAAAGATATTTTATTATTATATTATTATTATAAAGAATGCCGAGTATAATATGTTCCATGGACACTAGTACCTCTTAAATGGTTTTGATTTATTTTTATGATTTCTGTGTAAACGTTTTTTTGATGAACCAAAATGTGCTTTTATCAAATTGCATAATTGATGAAATTAATACAATATGAATGCATTATTATGACATAATAATTGATTTAATGAAGCTTCATTAAATTTTATAAAGTCTACGTAACTTACTACTTTATAAAGGCTGATTTACAATAAGCTTTTAAGAGTTTAACATTAAACGCAGAGCAACATCACTTGAATGCGCGTGTTTCTGATTGTTTATAGGCGGTACTCGCTCAAATGCTTAACCAGTTGCAACGGGCCCAGCTGCCTAGGGCCTTCGGGTGCCTATCTATAATTCCCATCTCGTGGTACAAAGCTCCACTGATTACGCTGGCAACCGGAGGCGATGCAGCACCGTCAGAACCCAGCCTAATGCGTTAGGCTGTGTACAGACGGGCGACCCCCACGACTTTTATTTAACGATCGTTGACACATTGCAGGGTCCATAAACCGGCCCCATTTCGCCAGGACGCGGTATTTAATTGCACATCCCTATAAAGCGCCGTGATGAGTCGTATGATCGCGTCTATAATTGGCAGCAGTAAACAAGGTTTAATTTATCTATTACAGCAATATTAGTCGGCGTAAAGTTCAACGAGGACAAAGGCGCAGTAAAGGGTTGCAATGTTATGACTATGACGTTATTAAAGAGTCCAGTCATTCTTGCCTCGGTTAAAATTCGCGGCGTTTCAGTTTCGGTATATTAACGAGGGGAGCGATCGCCTCGTCGGGTTATTGTTTAGCTGAATGCGTTAAAGTTGGCTGAGGCGCGATCGGTTGATGGATGGCCGTTGCTAGTATCAATCTTCGTCGGATACAGCCTCATTGTCGTCCGCTTCGCGTTCCTTGGGAGGGAATCGCCTCGCGTCTTTCCCGTCAGACGGGCGAGTTGATTAAGGACATCTGTCAAAAATGTCTCCACGTGTAATGGCTTTTTTCGGAATAACGTACCGAGGTATATATTAAAAAATGAATGTGATTTGGATTATTTTGCTTTATGTGCTTCTACTACCTGAGCCGGCATTACCTTTATCAAAAGAGTACGGACAAGTATTTGTTAGTCTATGATAATAAACAGTTTAGTTAAATTGTTTATTTATTTATGTAAAAAATTTTTTGCATATAAAATCTACAATGGCGGGCTACAAATTATTTAAGGGTAAATGTGTTCGAACAGTGTACAATTAAAGAAAATGTACAATTAAAGAAAATGGGTTTAAACGTCCTGGGCAGTCAATGAAAGGATTATTTTTTCTTAAAATTTTGTCATTCAGAGCAGTTGATTGAACTGTGAAGTTTTCAACTTCAACACGTCATAGCTCTCATATCGTATTATAATAATCGTCAGAAATATTCTCTCATAATCTTTGTGTATATGCAATACATCGGTGTTTTCGTATATTTCTGTGGTTATCCTTTGCTTTTAAATTTAGAGTTCGAAAACAACATGGTTGCGAGACGACTTGGTTCTATTCCGAGAACGTTCCGAAATTATCGCGTGCGAACACATTGAATTCAGCATGCGAGAATGCGCTGTCCCAACGCTTGTACGAATATTTGCGGAACCGTATTACGTCCCCCGCAGTTCCACGGTGACAAAGCAGAATAGTCCACGTGAAAATCTAATCGCGCCTGCACCAACATTAAAACTGTGTGTAACACTCATTGTAACAAACATCTGATTGGTTTCAATTATACTGTCGTTCGTAATACAATACACGGTTGTACTTTTAAGAGGCATAGCGATATATACTTACATACAGTTTTACCTGTCACCTTACACTGGACATCATCACTACATAGTATAAAATAAAGTCGTCCCGTTGTCTGTCTGTCCCTATTTATGCGAAGATCTTTAAAACTACGCAACGGATCTTGATGCGTTTTTTTACTAGATAGAGTGATTCATGAGGAAGGTTTATATTATAATACAGTGCACCCGTGCGAAGCCGAGGCGGGTCGCTAGTTGGAATATATGATTTAAACCTGTAACCTCAGCGTATCAACGTCGACAGCTAGGTTATCACCATCCTAATAACGTACACTATTATAACATTATCATAGTTTTGTTTATACAACTATCACAATATGTTATAAAATTTCACTATAAGATTATAGTTTTTATCTAAATTGATACGAGCAAAGGTTTTCTTATTACATGGCAACTGTAGTAATGCTCCTAAGCGACGGGGAAAAGTCGAGAGAGGTCAATTAGCATCTTATATTGTTTACATAGCGTAGTTTAAGCCGTAACTTGAGTGTCTTTATCTCGTAAAATCCGGTTTACGACTGCTGAATAATTGCACTACAGTCGCTCTAATTGAATATCTTTTTACTTATAATAATGTAACAATAATACTTCTGTAGGAATTTTTAGCTTAACAAAGCAAGGAAAGAGAGCGAATACTAACCACGTCTCACCAAGCTGGTTTCGTCCCAACTGTACTAGGCTCGGCTCATAATCCATGTAGATTATGAGCTTTAGCTGCAGAAAGTTATCACATGTCATTACTTTATGATAACATTTTTCTTTGCTATAAAAAGCAATTACATAATAATTTCATTATCAAGTACAAGTATTACTTAATAAATGCTTTAAATAGCGTTATAATCATTTGACAACTTGAGAGATAAATTATCGAACACATACACTTATATACAGATTAAAAAAATCTCTCATCAACTCACGAGATATCTGGATAGATGTTGTTGATGAAACGAAGATGTGCTGTAAAAGTTTCTATTTTATGTTAAAGTGGCAAAGGTCCTGGCGATTCACCTAATGTTAAGAGATAACCGCCGCCCATTGCAACACCTGTAGGGTTACAACAAATACATATATTATTGGGTTCTAAAACATGGTCTCGTTAAACTGATGGGAATTCAATTTAAGCACTTTGTATTACGAACTTTTTATGAGATATCTGATTTATTCTGGTCTATAGTTGCTCTCACTTTTTGGAATCATTTAAGACAATTAAAATCCACAGTGAGATCGCATGGTGGTCTACGCCCTAATACCTCCAGTACGGAAGGTCTTTGCTCAGCAGTGGGACATATATAGGTTGTTACTTTACATTACTTTTTAAGACAAATACAATGCTGTGTCTCTTTATCACGTATACGTTCTAATAAAAACCGTGGAGTGAGGAGTAATCAAACAAAGCTGTCGCACTTGTCTGCAGTTGTACAACTTATCAAATCATCTATACTTTTTACATTTGCTATCGGCAGGATTTTCACTCAGTTGGCGTAAAGACCAAGCAGCTTTGCTGAATCAGTGGTTCTTTATAACCGAGAAAAATATTTTTAAGGATGAAAGGTGATAAAACTTGTCTTTTATTACAATGCATTTTGCTACGAAGTGCTACGAAGAAACGAGCTTTTTTCGTAACCACAATACGGTTGAAAGATCTTTATATACCCGTACTATGAATACTGTACTTAGCTTATGTTAGTCCTTAGTGTGATAATGTGAGCTATGACTACAAGGGATAATTCGTCGGTGAATTTTTAAATACGAAACAAAATCGTAGACTACTTTCGTGTTACATAAACTACTGTCACTTTATATACTAGAAAAAACGATCTTATGTCAAAGAATTCTCGTTTAATGAACATAGGACAGTCACGCTTATCAACAAGTGCATAATCGCTACGCGGAGGCTGCTGAGTACAAGGGTCTCCACTCGGGGCGTAGGACCCGCAGGCAGTATACAGCTTTCGCCTGTGACCGGCCCCGTCTGGGTCAAAGCTCGCCCCAGGCGTTCTCCAGCCGGACAGAGCTTTGTGCGACGTAATGGAAGAAGTGACGTCATTGTTTAATACGGAAGTTGATGTTGCACCCCCACCGCAGGTGTTTCGAGACGGTCGCGTCGGTACGTTTTTTTTTGTGTGCACGTGATGTTTACTGCGACGGAGTTTTTTATTCTGTGTGTTGCTTCACGAGTTAGGTAAGATTGGTGGAGATTGTTTAAATCCGTATATTTTATACTCGACAGTACATGCTTTGTAACGTAGTTGGTTATATTGCACAAAAGCTTTTTCGTAGAATTATAAATGAGTATCATAATAATTCAAAAGGGGCAATTTTAGATACAGAGTTTATATATTTGAAGCTCAGTTTGGGATAAATTAGGCAATTTCTTATTGCTTTCCTCCTAGAGATGTTTCTCTCAAAACTCGATTATTCCAAGAAGGTTTTTATGGTTATTTACATTAAAATTTAGGTTTAAATAATAGAAACCTAATTGATTACCTATATAATTAACATTGAACTAAAGACGAAATAATTAACAGTTTAAAAGATATAATAAACGTAATAAACAATAAAATAGTAAAAATTTTGTTTCTTAGTTGTTACCATTTATTGACACCGGATGTATGGCAAAAAACTTATCTGCTTAAAAGATATTGTTGATTATTTAATTCAAGCGGTACCAAATTGAGTCCTGGGGTTACTATAGCGTGGAATATTAATTCTCTCTGCGAAATGCGTAACTGGGTACAAGGAGACAGCCGAAAGTCCTTTTCCGTTTTAAAATTAGAATATCGTTAAAATAGGCCTCGTTTCTTTAAACTTTAATTGCGTATTGGGCGAGAGCATCTTTTCGTTAATTCAACAAGGTGGAATACACCGCGGTACAAACTTATGAAATATCACCAACGGGGGAGCCTTATGAGTTATTTTGAGGCCTTTTCAAAAGCTTAAAATGTAGCATATGTTTAAGATATAATCCTCTTATCTTTACCTTACTAATATACTAATGGCGAAAGTTTGTATGTATGGATGGATGTTTGTTACTCTTTCACGCAAATACTACTGTATGGATTTTTATGAAACTTTACAATAATATAGCTTATACATCAGAATAAAACATAGGCTATAATTTATATATAAATATGTTTATGTATATCTGTCTTTCTGTCTGAATGTTACGCCTTCAGCCTATTCTACGCAGACGTAGCCGCGGGCAGCAGCTAGTATTTAATATATTTTATTCGTAGTTTATTCGTATGCTCTTTAGTTACGCGCCAATTTCAACCAAGATACCATTTTCATTAAATACGATGTATCCTAAGCCTCAGAGATAGTTTTATAGTACATTCATCATCCCACGAAATAAATTGGAATGGAACTTATAACAAATAATTTTGAATATAAACTTTTTAAAAATGTACTCAACGATTTTCGTTTTTTCGTCGGATTTTAAAGTTACGTTCGATTTTCGAACGTAACTTTAAAATCCGACTAGAAACTAATTAATAAAATCAATTAAAAACCCCACTTAAATATTGTTTTATTCTGTTTTTAGTATTTGTTGTTACAGCGGCGACACAAATACATCATCTGTGAAAATGTCAACTGTCTAAATATCACGGTTCATGAGTTACAGCCTGGTGACACACACACAGACAGACGGACAGACAGACAGATAGACATATAGACAGTGGAGTCTTAGTAGGGTCCCGTCCCCTAAAAATCGAAGATGTGTTATTTTTGATACTTTCAATTTATAAAAATTAATTGGTCGCGCAATTGCTAAACTATTGGCTTCGGCGCCGGAGGTCGTGGATTCGACTCCCATACGGGACAAGTATCTTGTGGGACCTACAGATAATTGTTCCGAATCTGTGTGTTTATTCTGAAGGAGGATTGTCGTCAGGCAAGAGGCTGGTCGTAAAAAACCTAGCCAAAACATGATTCAAATGTTGTGCCAACCCCACCTAGGTGGGATAATGGAAGGAGGATGATGATGTAATAAAAATATAACAAAATTGAAATTTATTGAAAAATGAGAGAAGGAAAATGTAGTGTACCAGCTGTTTCTCTTTTAATGAAAAAAAAAAAAAAAAACCGTGATACCCTCTCTAGAAAGGATTAAAGACGTGACCTAAATAAATAAGTCTGCTATAATTTACCTTGATGGGTTCAGAGTAAATTAAAATTTAATTGGTGCGAACTTATTTGTCACGGTAGCATATCTGAATCGGCTTGAGGTTTGAATATGAAACATAGTTAGTACAAGAAAAATACTGTACAGTAGTTTTTTCAAGCTTTTTTCTACCTAGTTGTTATTCCAAGTAACAGAGGAGAGGACCGCTTGAGTGGAGTTCTCATAAAACGCGGTCAAGTCAGATGGATTCATAACAAAACTAGCACTAGAGTTTAGATTAAAGAAAAACAGAAATTATTATTGTATTCACGTGTTGTTAGAGTATATGTCATTTTTATATCTTTTCACCATTAATTTTAATAACATTGTATTAATTTGTTAACTTACGCTTGATACTAATGCTGAGCAGAGTTTACGAATTTTTACTTTCGATCCTTCTCAGCTGCCTGATCTCTAATTCCCATCAATTTTAAAAAAATATCTTCGAACGATGAGCTATGAAAATACTAACGATAACGTTTGCTACATGATCCACTTTTCAATGAAACACGATATTTCTTTTTAGCCCGTAACAAGTGTGCACAATATTTGAAAATATAACACTTGTATTTTTTAGTCGTAAATAATGTAATTGACAAACCAAATTATAACGAGCCAGTGCCAAGACGAAAAATTTACTCAGTAACCTTTTTCTGGGTCCGGTATTCATATTTAATAACCAATTTATAACGGCTTGCCTTTAGGGCTCCCGCTGTATTAATTTACCTCGAAAATTGTAGATATAACAATTATGAGTATGACCATTTACGTGGATTCCGTCGCGCTTATATATTTTTTTATAATATTATTTATTATTGGAACTATTTGGTTAGCTTGGTGCCTTAGTCAATGGGTAATGGTTCTTTCATTGTTACGACCACAAAGGTACGCATTGACTGTCTCATTTTATGGTCGGTTTTTGGTTATTTCAAGAAATATATAATACTCTTGCCGTAAACATTTTTACAGTATTTACACAGATGAATGGGCGAATTGATCCTGGAAGTTCCCCTGATAATTACAACGGCTTAAAAGCGTAAAAAAAGCACGTGTACCTTTATTTTGCCCAACGTCGTGATCTGGCAACACTGCTGAAACCCCACGGGCGTTATGAAAGTCCATGGAGGATAGTTATAACTTTTCATCGCCAGCTCTTGTATCATTTTCTCACATAAAAAGCTATACATTATCACTATCACAAGTAAGAGGACAGTTTATCATGTGAGGTGTTTTTAAACACCTCACGTGTTAAACTACATTTTCTGTTTATCGCGCTACAAATGGATTATTCATACGTTGGAAAGTGAGAGAAATCCACGGCGCCGGTCGCCGCGCCCAAAGCGTAAATCAGAGCGACACACCGAACAAAAGAGATCGGTAAATGAATACTTTTCCAATTAAACCGCGGCCTTTTTTAATTAAACGGGTGCTTAAAGCCCTCACGGCTCATAGGGTTCAATAGGCCACCGCTTTGCACCTTCCCCCCTAATGCCAATTGACGTTTTCACAGCGACGGCACGAACGGCAGAAATATTTTATTGAACACGTCGGTGTCACATTAAGCGGCAAGGCTTGGTTAAACATAATTTGGAACGTAACAAACAAGATGGTGTCTGTAACATACAACGGTAACAAAGGTTTTGTGTACAAAAAAATATGTCTTCACATGTACCTAACCGAATTTACAAATTACTAGAGGTTTTGAAGAGGGTTGTGATGGGTTTACGCTGCGTGGTATCAGAGTCATGGCTCTTGAATCATTGAAGATTTTGAAACACCGTGAAATATGTGATTAGAATAGAAATTATTCCTGTAAAATACAATACATATGACGATAGAATTAATCCAGCTTAAGCGTCTTTATCAAGAACGAAATTAATGCAAAAATCAATGAGATGCTCAATCGTATTCAGAACTGTTTCTACAGATGTGTACGCGTTCGTCAGCCGAATGATCCGAAGGAGGGGGGAAGAAGGTTTTAAAACTCGAATTCGAAATTCAAAAATTTGAAACGAAATTCGAAACGAGCCCACGCTCACCGGATACCGCTCCAGGGCGGAAGTGGCCGCGACGACTGCGACCCCGGGCGTTTCCACTTAAAATTAACGAACTCTCTAAAAGTCGCTTACGTCCCAAACGTTCGTATGCAATGGCTGCGCAGCATTAATAATTGTTTACTGCGAGTGGATGCGTGTCGAGAATCCCGCCGCCGAATTAATAATCAGCGTCCGCTGCAAATGGCGGGATATAAATTTATCGAAGTATCGCCGCAGTGGATTTTATAATAGCCGTCTGGCTGTAAAGCTCTGTTCTTTATGGAATGCTTGTGTGTGTCCCTTTGTTCGTCGAACAGCCAACGTAATATCAAGACGAATCCATTTGAAAGCTCCGTAGCGGATTGTTTTGGTATCGAAAAATTCGAAGATGATTCAAATCTTGCATTTGAAATGATGGATTTATATAAAAATGTGTTGTTTTGAGCTTTGGTTTTACACGTGGGAATTGATAACGAAAGAAATAGTTGCAATGTGATTAGACATTTTGGGAAAAAGTAGTCAGTCTGTACACAGTCTGTTTACAGCCCGTAGTGCGATACTTTGGCCATATTGCGTGCAGAGGAGCAGACAACCTGCGATTTGATGGTGATGGGGAAAATAGAGGTAAAAGACCTAGAGGTCGTAATACTAAACGATGGACGGATCAGATTTCTGAAAACCTAGGAATCCCTATAAGCGCCACACTCTATCAGGCGACGGAGCGAAACCGATGGAGAGAGCTCGTTGACCAACTGAATAAGAGTCACGATCCTCAGCAGTGAGGGAACGACTAAGAAGAGAAGATAGAGTCATACCGCATTAGAT